GGATAACATGTCATTAAAAATGCTTCTTAGGGGCGCCTGGGTGGCTCAGTTGGTTGAGCAACTGCCTTCAGCTCAGGTCATGATCCCGGACTTCCAGGATCGAGTCCCGCATCGGGCTCCCAGCTCCTTGGGGAGTCTGCTTTTCCCTCTGACCTTCTCCTCTCTCATGCTCTCTCTCACTCATTCTCCCTCAAATAAGTAAACAAAATCTTTTTAAAAAAAATGCTTCTTAGAAGCATACCTAAGAAAAGACAATTATATCCCATCATATTTCTGTATGGTAGTAAAATCTGGCACTTGTTACCAAAATAAACAGGAGTGAACATTGGCAGCTCTGCATCTGGATGGCCCTATTTCCACTGGGTGCCACCCCTGACTTTGAAGATTTTATGTATGTATATATGTATTTATTTGAGAGAGAGAGAGAGAGCACAAGTTGGGGGAGGAACAGAGGGAAAGGAAGAAGCCGACTCCATACTGAGCACAGAGCCTGATGCAGGGGCTGATCTCAGGACACTGAGATCATGACCTGAGCTGAAACCAAGATTCGGACACTGAATCGAAAGAGCCACTGAGGTGCCCCATAGTGCCACCCTGACTTCAGACTGGGTTAAGTGAAACCGAAGACTAAAGCAGGGACTTGGGCCCCCAGTCTCCTGAAGGTGGCAGACGCAAGAATAGAAACCAAGTAAGAATCAAGCCAGTCTTTTATCATGCTCTGCTACCCCTGTGGGGAAGCTTTTGTTCAGAACCTAAGGGTTTAGTCTGCGTGCCACCATTTTCCTGAGTAAAAAGAAAGAATAGGACAGGCTGGTGTACACGTCGTGCAGAAATTGCATTTCACATGTTTTTGTTTTGTTTTGTTTTTAATAATGAGGATGAGGACACTTGTCCCCAAGTATGAATGTCAGTGGTTAGAAGTAAATGTGTGTTATCACACTGTAAAATGCCCGAACAGGAACTGGAAGAGCTCTGAGCTGCTCGGACCAAGAAAAACAATGAGGCAGACAGTCTTGGATTCTCTACCTTCTCTGGAAACAGAATCATTTTTATAAAATGTTATCTAAGCTGTGGAACCATGAGTATAGTAATTCGGCATTACTGTAAGATGTCCTGTACCAGTTGCTACACATGAGTGTTTTAAACAGATCCCTTAGACATGATTGCTCAAGTACCAGCCCGGTCTTTGTCTACAGACAGATCATGCATTCCTTAAATAAAGCCCTGCAGGTCTCTCCTCTCAGAAATATCTACCACTTCTGGGGCACCAGGGTGGCTCAGCTGGTTAAGCATCTGCCTTTGGCTCAGGTCATGATCCCAGGGTCCTGGGATCGAGCCCCACATCGGGCGGGCTCCCTGCTCAGGGGAGAGCCTGCTTCTCCCTCTCCTTCTGCCTGCCCCTCTGCCTGCTTGTGGTATCTTTCTGTCAAACAAAAAAATAAAATCTTTAAAAAAAAGTAATAGCTCTCATTAAAAAAACAATAGAAAAGAAATATCTACCACTTCCTTCACAATATGCACCTTACATAGTGAAGGAAAATTCTATGAAAATATTAAAGTTCTTCCCTAATGTGTTCAGTCAATTTTAATCAGTTGTCTTGCAATATTTTTCAACAGATTCTTTCGAAAGGCTAAAAATGTCTTATATTTTACACATCGTAGCATTGTTGCCTGTCACACACGTACACAAATTGTTGTTTAAAAGCTGCGATGTTTAAATTGAAATAAAACTTATGCTTACAGTGGTAAATATCCCTGGATTAATAGAGTTGTAGCAGATATACACCAAAAATTGACTGAAGTCTGTGATATTAAAAAGACAGAAAATTTATCTAGTTTTAGCAAATGTCAAATCAGCAGCTATTGCTTTTAAGATTAATAAAAGATATAATGGTTTCTAGATAGCCTCTAAATAGAGATTACTATGAATGGAGAAGTGATTTACCAACAGTCACCACAATGAGATTTCTTTAAAGGTTACAATCATCAGTTATTTAGCTGAAACACTGCTGAGAATGCCTGGTCATTTCTTGAATAATGCATAATGTTCATTGTAGATTTGATCTGTATTATAACAATACAGATATTTCTAAAATAATGGAAAAAACTATCTGTTACCTTCCAATTGCTTAACATATCATTTCCATGAAGTAATTGACTCAGGACACATTACACACTGTCACCTGAGTGTTCTTTCTGCAAGCATAACTTGTAATAATCTATACACAATGGGCATCACAAAACAAACTCATCAACCTTTATAGACTTTTAAGAAAAGATGTGATGAATCCAGGGCAGAATGAAGGACCTTTCTGAAGCAGTAAATTAAAATGATTAAGTTTCTATATAGTTGTGTGGGACAAATTTAAATTCAAGCTTTGAAATTTAATTATTAACATGAACAATTCATCACATTAAAAAAAAAAAAAAACACTGCCTACATCATGTAAGTACTTTTCATATAAATTTCCAAATGCCTTTAGGTTTATTCAAGAGACTGCTTGAGGAAGCACAAAGTATAATGTCTATCGTTTTATGGTTGGATTATGAACTACACTTCACATGATGCTGCAGGCTATTTATATAAGCTTGTTTATCCACATGAACTTCTTCAAGGGCACAACACTGAAGACCTTAATAAATTAAAATGAATTTCTTTTGATGTTGTTTCATGAATGTTTGATCAGAATGAGTAACAGGTTTGCATTAAAGAATGGGAGGACAGCAATAAAATAGACATAGATTGTACAGCAGAACCGGCTTACAGAAAGTGCCCACGGTATTCCTAGCAACTTTACGGAGAGCCACGGTCAATGGAAGAGAGTCACTGTGCTTACACTTTCACCATCACCCGTTTATAGCAGTGGGAGGACATGTGAATAAAACGGGATGCTCTGCCATCATCTGCATGGAATTTGCAAAATAATCAAATCTAGTATCTCCTTCCAGCCTCCTAAATACCCATCTCAACCTTCCCATTTCTCTCACTGATATCACCATGTCCTTCCATTAGACCAAAATGTCCATGCCAGCAGAGGCCATATTTTATCTTTTGTATCCATTTTTAGCATAAATAGTTACAGAGCCTAACTGATTGAGGTCCATAAAGTAAAAATGATTCATCAGTCCTAGCCAGAAGCTGCGAGAATCCTGACCTGGAACGTTCGGTGAAGGGGATGCAAATCAAGTATCATTTCTAGAAACAATACGATGTGATCGAGCACCAGGCAGAAAGGCAAGACAATGGATTTTCATTTTAAATCTAATACTTGGCTTTAAACGGTTTCTAGATCATTTCCCTCATCTGTAAATGAGGGCATGGTTCTACATGATCTAGAAATTCACATGTGTTAGAGGTCAGGATTCTGAAAGTTAGTAGGGTTGTCACCTCACAGAAGAATGGACAGACCATGGAACCATTTTTCTACTTTGGTAACCACCACTACTTATCAACTGCCAACTCTTTTAAATAAAAAATGGAAATAAAGCATAACTGTATTAAACAGGGTAAGCCAAACCCAGTCCCTCAATCAATGCATTTCCAAGCGAGACCCAAGGATCTATTTTGCACCCTCTGTGACTTCTGACCTGCTTGTTACTCTTACCCTTATCATCTTGTATGGTTTGAAATAAACATGATGACAGTCTACTGAATAAACTCTTACAGATGCAATACTCTTACTAAGATGATACTCACACCTTTAGCTTGGAAAAATCTGCTACAACTTTATCATCTGGAACATACATTACCAACTTGACATCTGTATTTTTAATGGCAGAAGGGTTGTAAAAGGACAGCATCAGTGTGGCTTGGCTTATTCATACATCTGTGAACTATGGCTTGTGGGCCAAGTCTGGCGGCAGCTGCCTGTGTTAAGTATGGTTTTATGGGAACACAGCCACACCCTGTTTTTACATATTGTCCGTGGCTGATTTCATGCTACAACGGCAGCGTCTGAGAGACTCTCAAAGCCTACAACAGTTCTGAGATAACCCATTACAGAAAATGTTTGCCCTGTTCTAGAGGAAAACAACATGTCACAATTTAAATTCTAATTTTGCTTCTCTCCTAAGCCTACGGAACACAGTTTGTAAGTACCCATGTAGAGATATGAACAGATTCACACGTGCATATATATGTGATGACACCCCTTAGCCCTTAATTGTAAATAGTCACTGCTTTTGATCCTTCATTTTAATTTGAATCCTCTAAGAGTTTACAGCTCCCCACCCGAACCCCTTTCTCCAATAGCCAGGAGTACAGGACTTCAACGGTTGTTGTCAAGGTGTAACCACTTAACTAAAGCACCTAAATCCTTTCCCCAGAGTTGCCTACAATTTTGCCAAATGTCCAGCTTCGTGCCCACCAAGAGTCTAGATGCACAAGAAATGAGCAAGTCCCTTAAGTCTAATGCCCCGAATAACACACCCTTAAAGGTAGGAAAATCAATGGTCAATGCCACACACACATCAATAAACACGTGCATGCATATTCATGTGCTAAACATGCTATAAATTATTAGAAGTTTCACTAACAAAAGAAAATACCTCTCTTATGTATCGGAGTGAAGAAAGCCTAAAAGCCTTTATCTAATAGAGTTTTAACAATGACTGCACCAAGGATTTGGAGGACAAATAAATGTTTATATTTAAGCAGTTTTTAGGCAATATGTATAGAGACTTGAAACATTAATAGGTGAATTGTTTATCAGCCAATAAAATCATTACTCAAAATACCCACTACAATTGGAGTCTGCTCTCTTCCTCTCTTTGGTTACTACATACAGGAAATATTAGTTCCACCCTCTAACAAATATTCTCATACTCCACCCATCAACAATAATTTGCATGTATTAGCATAACACAAATTAAACCCAAGAAGCACTTTAATGTAAGTCATCTCATTCTCATTTCTCGGAAACCTTACATAAAGTGATAGAATATTTTAGGCTGACAGACTTTTGGAAAATAAAAAAAGAAATAGAAGAGGTTTATTTCACCTTCACATGGTGTCTTTCTCATGCAGAGCTCAGATTTCCACAATTGTATCCCTTTAAAGGATTTGATATGCAGGAAAAGAAGAAAGGACGATGGTAAACATTTCATCTTAGAGACACCTACAGACCACCATATTCCAGAATAAACGGGGGCTTAAAGCTTACCTTTGACTGATGTGTTAGGTGGAGGGCCTTCCATTCGCAAGTTCCATGGAGGGTCCCCTTGGTTAGCAAAGTCCCTCATTTTCAGATAGCTAATGGTAAGTCGAATGATGGAGGCCTTGTCGAGCTGGCTAGTGATAGCTGCAGGAAGAGGCAACAGCTTGGCCAATTCATAGAACTCAAAATTTTCTTTTCCCCGGCGGGACCGAGCGGCATCTCGGGATTTCTCCTTTCTCAATGCTTGTAAACTGCAATCAAAGGAGTGAAAAAGTGTTCTTTAGAACATGTTCTTCTGACATCAGATAGGAACTGTTTCCTTTTTATTTCCTTTCTTCCCCCTGCAAAACTCTGCCAAAATCTTCTTCCAAACTCTAGGATCACAGTAAAATAAATTCTAGACCACGTCCCCTAAAACCGCAAATTCTACCTCTGACCTTAGATACCACAGACTTACGTGCAATGAATAAAATTAGGTTTTTTCCCTCTATTTGGTCATGCATCAAGACATATTCTGTGCTTCTAAGACCTGAGAGTTACAGGTGAAGTTTGATGTTACCAGCTATAAGCAACTGGAAAGATGAGGCTAGTATTCATATACCTAGTCTCAGGATACTGATTTTGTTCATTTAGCTGTTATCACTATGGAATCTTAAGCTATCAGAAGCACCCATTTTTAAAAATGTATTTCAATTATAATCTTGGGGAACAAAGGGTAAACATCACATTTTAGTTGTTGATTCTGTGAATTGTGTTCATGTGCTTCCAGTCCTCAATAAGGATCACGACCTTTAGTCAGATAAAGAAAACATCCCACTGAAAATGAAGATTTCAACGCAGCTTTATAAATGTGCTGGTAATTGGCTGTTAAGAGAAAACTTTAGTTCTTTACTAATGAATATACATTAGTAGATGGATAGATTCCCTAAGATACTTGAGAATAAAATACATTGCCCAGAAAAGTCAAACTTTAAGATAATATAAATTTAATGTCAAAAGATAAAGCCTTGTGTGGGTTATTAAAATTTATCAATGTTATAGACATATTACTTCACAGAAGATGCAACAGGTGGGATCCAGCATTTTCCTTTAACTATTCATGTGCATTTCTGTTTGAAGTTTGTTCACATTGCTGAGGGCAGAATCTGGCACACCTGAAGTTGTGTTTGAGCATCTGACAGAATTCCACCTATTCTGAATTGTTCTGTTTTATGCCTGACAAGAAATAAAACCCAAATCAGACCCTGATGATAAGTAATTGGCCAATATTTACAGTATCAAGGTGCTATTAAAGTCATTTGTAAGTATCATTGCAAGGAACTCTGAAGGCATTTTAAAATCTTTGAATCTAGCTTTCTGGTTTCCCGTTATAAAATAACAAGAAAGAGAGAAACAAGGAAGGAAGCAAGACCAGAGCAATAGATCAAAATGAGTTCAGCAATATGATTCCAATTTCAGTTAGTATAATATGGACAATAACACTTCATATTACATTATAGCACACCTGATGTTTTTCATGGTAGAAACATTGTATTTATTGCAGATACTTAGAATATCTTATTGAGTATCCACATAATTTAAGTAATGCCATCACACTCCGGTCAAATGCTTGCAAAGCCAATATCCCACCAGTTTCACTCTATTAATAAAATATTCTAGAGACACCTGGGTGGCTCAGTCAGTTAAGTGTCTCCCTTCGGCTCAGGTCATAATCCCAGGGTCCTGGATTGATTCCCACATCAGGCTCCCTGCTCAGCAAGGAGCCTGTTTCTCCCTCTGCCTGAGCCCACCCCCTGCCCCCCACTTGTACTCTCGTGCTCTTTCTGTCTCTCCCTCTCTCTCGTGTGCATCATGTCACTTGATGTCTCAAGTGTTAACCTCAGGCAGAAACATCACTGATTTACATGGAAGAAGCATGGTAATGCCATTAATTACCCCAAATCCTGGCTGACCTTCATGCAATTTTATAAATAGTCAATCCTGACTTGTTGAAAATTTGTAAATAAAGTGAAAGATGCCTTAAAATCTGACAAAGTTTGAGTATAACCAAGATCTAAAGTTATCATCTTAGGATAAAAGAACCATTCATACCCTCCCTTTATATAGTAAAGGCAATCTATCTAACACCATTTAGGTCAGCTGTGCTGAAAGAATGATGGCCTTTGACATGTTTTCTCTACCCCTTGTAGAGTGCGGTGGTTCAAGTTCAGTGCTTCGCTCTCTTTGTGTTCCTGTAATCAAACGGTGCTGCAAAAGGTAGGCTAAATGTACAATTTTCGTTGTTGTTGCTGTTCAGTAAGTGACTATGATGGAGCTCTACAGAAGAGGTAATAAACTCAAGGGCTCCCCAGGTTATGGCAGGGAATGTCAATGAGTGAAGATGCCTGATGGCCACTGTGGGGACCTGAAGGACAGGCAAAGGGACAGCATGCACAGTTCCAGCTGACTGCTGTTCTAGAGGAAAGCATACCTGCTGTTGCCAGATTTCCAGTGTTGCTCTTTCTAGAGAACAAAATCTGAATTTTCATATGCCATTTCCAATTTTATGTTATGTTTTAATTTTATTTTAACTAATTAAAGTTTTAAAAAATAATACAAGCCTAATCAAACATGTCATTTGGTCAATAAATGAGCAGGGATGAATTTTACAGTCAGGTAAGAATTTGGGAGGTCAATTTTGAAGGTAGTTTTACATGGATATTACATGTAACCTTCCCTTGATACATGCAGCCCAAAGAATCTCAAATGGGTTCATTTGTCATCTAATTAATATTACCAACATTCATACTAGGAATTTCTCTGTTCAAATGAAGCAAGTAGAAGATTAGGCCATTATTCTGAAATTTATTTTAATGCATAGGCTTATCAATATTTTGAGGGAAAAAAAAAAAAAAAAAACACTAAGTCTATAGGGAAGGAGGTAAGCAAAGCCCAAGATTACACAGAGCAATTCAATGGGCTCCAAAGGCTAGGTAGAGGAGAAATGGCTTCCTATTTCCACTCCAGGAAGGCAATAACAAGGACACTAATTCCTCTGCATACCTTGCCTAACCAAACTCTTGCCTAACCTAACTCTGACACTTGATTTATCTAGAGTACCCCCAAGTATGGGGCGCCTGGGTGGCTCAGTGGATTAAGTGTCTGCTTTTGGCTCCAGCCATGATCTTGGAGTCCTGGGATCGATCCCCACATCGGGCTCCCTGCTCAGTGGGGCGTCTGCTGCTCTCTCTGCCCCTCACCCCACTCTTGTGTTTTCTCTCTCTCAAAAAAACTTTAAAAATAAATAAACAAACCAACAAACAAACCGCTGGGCAGGACTTACTTCATGTGTTCCTGACCTACCTTCTTGTTGCTTCTTTCCTCTCCACCCCCCAATTTTTTTTTTTTTTAATACTCTAAAACTCTGTGTTACCCGACTGGAGTAATTGTCTTGCCCGTTATCTTATTAATGACGGTTTCCATGACTCCCCCATCACAACATTATACAGACACCACAGCTCAGAAGAGTTTCAGAATAACAGTGCTGTGGCTAAAATAAGCAGTAATTGGCTTTGAGGACAATAGCAATAAAATACAGTCAAAGGATTATAAAGGTTATAGAAAGACTAATAGAAGAGATTAAGCTAAAGACCTTAAGACAATGCCACAGATTGTGGATTAAGCTTAAACCTGTTTTTGCGGAGTAGAGCCCAGTTGTAATTAATACTCAAATTGAATTAAGGACTACATTAAAACTTAAAATAAACGGTGTATTTGTCCATTCTGTCCTAAACCAAAAATCATCACTGTATTTGGAGAATACCAAAGAAAGAATGGAATGGTTGTACATGAATAAAATGATAAGTGCTGGGGTGCTTGGGTGGCTCAGCTGGTTAAGTGTCTTACTCTTGGTTTTGGCTCAGATCATGATCTCATCAGACTTTTGAGAGGGAACCCTGGGACCCACTCCTGCTCCTCATGGAGTCTGCTTGAGATTCTCCCTCTGTGCCTTCCCTCATTTGCACACACGCACTCTCTCTCTCTCTAAAATAAATAAAAGTATTTTTTAAAAGTCTTATGGTGTTGCTCTCTGCCACATAAAAAGTGATTAACTCTCAGATCAACAATAAGTTACTCCCGGGGTCCAAACTCTCCACTGCTCTGATGTTCATCCACCTAGTCTTTGGATAACTACAAAAAAGAGACTCTTCCTTACTCTTTGGCAGATCAAAATTTCAAATGTCTGATGACAGTATTTTCGTCCTCATCAGTAGTTACCACAACCAACAAAACAACAAAGTCAACAATCTTAAAAGACACACACACATGTATTTTCAATTTATCTATTTAGAAATAAATCTAGAAGTCATATGTAAAATTATGTATATATTTTGGGGAAGATAGTAAACAATTTTCAGAATCTCCAAAGGGCTTCTTCACAAACAAAAGGTTAATGATCTAATATCTAGAATTTCCTCTCATAAAACTTAAAAAGTTGGTTCTCTGACACTTCATCATTAATGTCACCATAATTAACTCTCCTTAACAACCATCCCTGGTTAAAATAACATTAATGTATGTTTCTGCTTAACACCTGGCAACAAATTTTTACATGTTTCTGAAGTTATACCTTTAAGCATAGATAATAAGTAATCAAAGAAATTACTAGTAATGAAGATTTAGGTGACAACCCTTATTAAAAGTAATTTTTTTATTAATTGAAAGGATTTCAGTTTTTTTTCTTTTAAGATTTTTATTCATTTATTTGTTAGAAAGAGAGAACACAAGCAGGGGTAGCAGCAGGGAGAGAGAAGCAGGCTCCCTGCTGAGCAATAGTCCAATGAGGGACTCGATTTCAGGACCCTAGGATCATGACCTGGGCAGACACTTAATGAAATGAGACACGCAGGTGTCCCTGAATGTAATTCTTTTAATCCTGTCATATATTTTAACTTCCTTGGCAAGTTACGTGTTTTGTGGAAAGAGTCCTGATGAAGGAATTATAAAATCCACGCTGGTCATTCATAGGCATGCCGCAGGCATAACAAATTTCATCCTCAATTTTATCATCTTACAATATGAGGATGGTAAACAACTCTCCTGGGACCAATACAATGACTCATATGATAATTTCCATGTAGTATATGGTAAATATGAAACTTCTAAAACAATTCTAGATTTTAAAAATTAAGTTTGTAAACTCTAAATGCGGTAGACTCCACTTTAGAGTTTTACAACAAAGAAAATTTTTAAGAAGTTAAAAACATTTAGG